GGTAGGCTTTGCTATAGCTAGAGGAGTGGGAGCCCAGATTATAATAATAATAATAATAATAATAATAATAATAATAATAATAATAATAATAATAATAATAATAATAATAATAATAATAATAATAATAATAATAATAATAATAATAATAATAATAATAATAATAATAATAATAATAATAATAATAATAATAACAACAACAACAACAAGTATAATAATCATCATAACAATAATTATGACAATTATAATCATAAATCATAAAAATAATCATAATCATGTTAAAGCATAATAATAATAGCAAGATCCTAGGCATGATACTAACAAGATTAATAACAAACCCTAGCATGTCACAAATCAATAAAGATCAAAGCTTTAACCCTAACATGATACTAGCAATCATATTAGGAAGAGAAATAGGAAGCATCATAACAATCATACTTGATTTAAGGAACTTATTCTTTACCCTAAACATGATACTAGGAAGCAATAAAACATCCTAACATGATACTAGGAATCAAAATAACAATCTAAGCATGATTTCTATATCATAATATCAATTAAACCATTAAAGTACTTACTTGGATGCCTCGTATCTATTTCTAATAACAAAATACACGCGTTAGTAACTTCAAGGAAAATAATAATTAAAACAATTAAATTAAATAATTGAAATAGAGATTTGGGACCAAACCCTCAGAAATTAAAACCTTTCACGTCTAGGGCGAAGACAACTTCGAACTTGGCTAGGTGTGTCTAGTGCTAATGTATGAGGAATTGTGTTTGTAAAAAGCTAGGCTAGAAAGAAAGAGAGAATCAAGAATTTCTTGATTAGAGTTAATAAGAATTGGTGAATGAAAACGGAGTTTTTTAAAACACTATTTACAGAAAATCAACGAAAAAGATAGAAAATCAAAACAGAGTTCTGACGCGTAAAACGAGGATTAGCGCCAAACGCTGACGTTAGCGCCAGGCGCCAAGCGTAGCGCCAGGCGCTACAACTGGCGTTTGGCGCTGACTAAGAAATTGACGCGATTTCTTAAAATCAGATAGAAATTGTCGTACAGGAGGATAAAATCGTATTTTCCTCAAAAAGTTCTTTTATTTTGATTAAAACTCTAAAAAGTCAACAAAAGTCAATTTATCAATGCTAATTGAATTAGGAATGAAAAGAACCTTCTATAAGAATCTAGAAGACTAAAACCATTCCTAATTGCATTAGGAACGATAAATCTACATTAGGCCCTCCTCTAGATCATTGGGCCGCATATAAGGCTCAAACCAGGCCCAGTTCAGTAATTTGGCCATAACTTCCTCAATATTCATCGGAATTGGGCTTATAATATATCGTTGGAAAGCTCTTTTCAAGCTCTATCCAACTACACTACTATTGGACCCATATCATGGACCAACCAAACTGGATTGACTGTTTTCTCAAAATAGGTTTTCAAAAAGAGAGAGGAGAAAAGAAATTAAAACTATCCGCAACACTAAACTTTCCACACTTTCACTTCATTCGATTATGATTCGACGCGAAAGGTACTCATCACTGGGTTTGGTTTTGGGGAGACACAAATGGGTGTCTACAGCCTTGAACACGCTTGATCATAATAATATGATTATTTGATGTCCACGTTAATTATATAATCATTAAGAGGGAGAAATTAATTTAATTATGGTTCAATTATTATATTTAATGTGATTAAACTCTTGGAATTGATTAAATGTGATTTAATTATACTCAAAATAGCCATGAAGAGACCGAAATTTATCCCTAAATTGTTCAAAATTTTTGAACACCCTAATCCTAATTTCGAATTAGTTCAAAATCCTAGCCCTAAAATGTGATTATTGTGCTTGATTTTGATTTAATTCGAATTGTTTTATGCTTCATAATTTAAATCGGATTTATTATACATAAAAATGTTTTGTGTACGAAAAAAAATTCTAGAACTAAAATCTGATGAACTAAAAAATGATATTGAAAATGAAAATAAAAGAAATTCATCAACATATCAGATCTAGCTAACATAAAAGAAGAACGAAACGAATAATAATATATATAAAAAAATAAACGAAAAATCAACTAAACTAGATCTAACACTACAGAAGATCTAAAGGGAAAAATTGTTAAAAAAACGTAAAAGAAAAAGGGAATAAAGCTAATACATCCATTGAAAAAACCCCCAAAACGAAACCGAAAAATACATCATGTTCAAATCTCATAAATTTTTATTTGCAAAAATAAGTTTAAAAACAAAAACATTAACAAGAAAACTAAATGAAAAATCAATTATCATAACTAATGAAGAATTGTATATTTTTTTTTTACAAAAACAAATATTATAATCAATTATAAGATAGTCAGATTTTCATTAAAGACAACAAAAAAATGAAAATCTATCAACACTTAAAAACAGGGAAAAAAATTACAAACGCACCTTGACAGTAGATCTTTAAATTTTGATATGCTAGAGTTCTTGAAATTGAAAAAAAACATGAAGGAAATTAAAATTGGGGTGAAAAAGATAAGAGATTAAAGGAGAAGGGAGAAAGAGATGGGTACTCCCAAAAGTAAAATAGAAAGAGATGAGAGGCGAGAGTGGAGAGCGGAGTAGGAAGAATGAGAAAGTGAGAACGTTTTTTTTTAAAGAGTAAGGGTTTTGAACTGGGAATTTTAGGAGACCCGTCTAGATTTATAACAATAGGTCTCTCTGATTTCTCAAATAAAAAAATTGAAAAACAAGAGACCTGTTATTTAGAAGGACGAGTCTCTCTTTCTACCTTGTGATCGGTTTTCTTAAATAACGGGTCTTTTTGATAATTTGAGAGGCATGTTAATGAAGATAACAGGTCTCTCTTTTCACAAAGTCCACTTATGTTGTTAACGGGTCTCTTAGTTTGGGTCTCTACGAGCATTTTTGTAGTAGTGATAACATATCCTAGCATGTCACTAAACAATAAATATAAAAGCATTAGCCCTAACATGATACTAACATGATATTATAAATAGGAAGCATCCTAAACATGATACTAAAAACATACATGATATTAGAAATTTTAGTTATTGCTAAACATGATACTAGGAATCATAAAGATACCCTAACATGATACTAGGAATTAAAATAATCAAATCATGCTTTCTATATCAAAATAATAATTAAAGTAATTACGTACTTGGATGCCTCATATCTCTTTTTAATAACAAAATACGCACGTTAATAACTACAAGGAAAATAATAAATAATAAATCTAATCAAAGAATTGAAATAGGATTTGGGACCAAACCCTCAGAAATTATAAATTTTTCATGTCTAGGGCGAAAACAACTTCGAACATGGCTAGGTGTGTCCAGAACTAATGTATGTGGAATTTTGTGAGAGGGAAGGTTTAGAAAAAGAATAGAGAGAGAAAGCTTCTAGCTTTTAAAGAGAGTATAGAGAGATATGATGGTTGAATGATGATTCTGAATGAATGAAAACGGGGAGATACGAACCCTATTTATAAGAAAAAATAGTCCTGAAACAAATCAATCCTATTCGGAATAAAATACCTCTTGTTTCCAATGACAGGAGTTAGCGCCTAACGACAAGATTAGTGCCAGGCGGCAGCTGGTAGCGCCAGGAGACAACTATTAGCTCCAGGTGACAGCTTTGTCTCGCACTAAGTCAAAATTAAAATGCACTTTCCGCGTTGATCAGATGAAAATCATGTTTGTGTCAAATAATATATTTTATTCAAAATAAACTCTTTAAAAATCTAATTATTAATCCTTAATCTCATTAGAATTTAAAAGTACTTTCTAGATTATTCTAGAAGATCAAAATCAATCCTAATAACTTTAGGAATAATAATTAATAGGTCCTCCTCTAGATCATTGGGCCACATATAAAAATCATTTCGGGCCCAGTTTAATATTTTGGCCATAACTTCCTCATTATTCATCGGAATTGGGCTTATAATATATCGTTGGAAAGATTTTTTGAAACCCAATCCAACTACACTATTATTAGACCCTTATCATGGACCAAACTAAATTAGGCTGACTATTTTCATAAATAGAGTGTAAAAAGAAATATTTTCAAAAATAGGTTGAAAGATATTTTAATACTACCTCCGTTTAGAGGTGATCGTTTGCGGGCTTGGACGGGAAACGGGTCGGGCCTATACTTCATTTTTTGTCCAACGGGCTAATTGTAGCTGACCCGGGCCCTTTTATGCGGGCTTGATAAATTGTCCAAGCTCGCTCTATTAACAGGTCGGGCTTGTCCGCAGGCCTAAAATATTTGTTTTACATATATCTAACACTAATTTTTTTTTTTTTTTTTTATCATTTACATATGTTAATATTATTTCGATTTAGTTATCTTAAGAAAATTTTGATCACTAATGATACTAGAAAAAAACATATTTAACTTGTGACATATGTTAGTGAAAAAAAAGGAAAGAATGAACTTATTTAATACAAGTATAATGATTAAATATAAAATTGAAATAAATAGTTGTAGCTAATAATAGGTTAGAGTCTAATATAGTCTTTTTGTATTTATTTTCTAAAATATACTAAATAATCAACTAACTAAAAAATCATTAAACTATTACTTTTTGAAATAAACGGGCTGGGTGGGCTAACCCACGGTACATATTGTCTTGTCCGTGTCCGCCCATTTATATTAACGGGTCGAGCGTAGCCCGCCCAAATTTTCAATTTTTTTCAAAATGGTTGTCCAAGCCCGCTTATTTTGCGGGTCGGGTTGGGCGGGTTTAGCGGGTTGACCCGTCCATGAACAGCTCTACCTCCGTTATAGGTTATATGCAGCGATTTGACATAAATCAGAGAGGGAAAATGTCGAATCGTTGCACATAAACTGTAACAGAGGTAGTTAAAAGAACCACATCACTAGCCTTTTCACACTTTCTCTTCGTTCGATAATCAAATAACGTGAAAGATGTTCATCACTGGGTTTTATTTTGGGGAAACACATTTGGGTGTCTACAATAACAAATCCTAGCATGTCACTAAACAATAAAAATCGAAGCTTTAGCTTTGTAGATACCCAAATGTATCTCCCCAAAACCAAATAATTCAAACTACACAAAAGCTGACTTTGTCTCTAGAGACCACCAAATTCAAAAACAGAAAGAGCAAAGTAGCAGTCAGCGCAATTACAACACACAACATTATTAACAGTAGACAGCAGTAGCATCTAGCCAGCTAGCAGGTCAACAAATAGCGATAGCAGCAAACGATAGTAGCATTCAGCAGTAACAGTGACAGCAGCAACAACAATAATTGCAGGGAGCTCCGAACTTTTCAATCTTGGAAAAAAAAAACGTTTATCTAAGTGAATCTTGTACTCCGTAGTATCTATCTATCTATCTCCCCAAACACCGACAGCTACAAAATATGCAAATGTGTTTCTCGTGACATCATTACTTGCTACTCCAATCCTTCTTCTTGATCCATTTGATCCTATATATGTGAGAAAGCATCATATATCAAATAACCAAAAATATACCATTCATGAAAATCATTAAAAGTATCACATGAGTTTTTATCAATTAGTATTGAGGCCAAGAATATATATATATATATATATATATATATATACATAAGCACATTCTTATAAACTACTACTTATATAATTCACACATATATATAAACTTGAATATAGATACAATCGCATTATTACCTTCAAATTAAAGAGCAAATGATACGTCAACCATTCAATGAAACAACATAAACCCCATCAAATTAGTTACCATCAAATTAGTTATAAGGCAGCAAGGTACAATGAACCAGACTGATCGAACACCACTAGGCTTCCAAATCCCTGATCAGCGAACGTCTCATAGTTGGTGTTCAGTGTGTTGAAAAGGGGGAAATCTGTGGTGTATAATGCAGGATTTTCGTTATATCCTAAGTTAAATGAGAACCTGCCACTCGAGTAATTCTTTCTAAAAAACTTGCAATGAGTCGGTTGCCTTAATTCGGCATCTGTGTAGGCAAAAGAGTGTCAGTTGGCTCATTAAAGCTTTGCCAAAGTACAGCAGACGCTCGATCCATCAGCACGAAGTTTCCAGTGTCGAGTATAGTTGTAGAGGCAAGTGTCACTCCTGCTGCTGCTGCCAGCCAACAACCTAGCTCTCCATACCTCGCGCCCACTTGGGTCAGTAAGTATCAAGCTTCTTGTAGTAAGTTCTACTTTTGAACCCCTGGGTACTGGAATGTCTCTGTTGGCAGAGCAAGTTATGGTACTTTCGGGTATTTTATTGAACCATATGGCTAACAGAAAACTTCCAGACTCAATCTTCTGAAACCCGAAAGCAAAGTCTTTGGAGGGAGATACCCAAGGCAAAGAGATATCCCTAGCAATGAGGGATGAGCCCAAGGTTATGCTGTTATAACTTTGAGCCGAGATAACGAACCACATTAGAAAAGAAAAACAGATATAACAAGGTAATTTTATTGATAAACCATGGTGATACTATTGTTATTACAGCAGAAAAAAAAAAACGCAGCAAGCTTTGTTTATTTTAGCTCTGCTTTATTAATTAAAGCATGTTGTTCATGGTACATATCATATATAGTGGGTATGGACAACCCATTTATGAAAGTTAAACTTTATAAAAGTATGTAGATGTATGTCATTTTTCAAGTCTAATGAAAATTAAGGCTCAAAATTGTTTTCAGAAGGTTGGACCAATTTTAAAAATTGCGTCATTCTAAATTGACTTTGCTCGAAGAATATTACGTTTGGAATTTGGAAAGTTGATAAATTTGTCGAAGAAGATCAGTTGAAATTTAGAAAAAGAAGTTATCACTCACAAATTGGAAATATGACAGTTCTGTCTGGTGGTGTTTGATCAGTCTGGTTCACTGTCCACAGATTTCCTCCCTAAATGTAAGCTCCTCAACCTATTTCCCAAGCTGCCTTATAAAAGAAATACACTATGATGCCAATAGTATCCCTCCCCTCCCAAGGTTAATCTATTACACCTATCTAAGTGGTTAAGTTATTAGTAAAACTTAAGAAAAGGACCAGTTTCATAAGATAAAGTAATGTTTTTTGTTTGAGCACTGTACCAATAGAGGGAAATGCAAACTTGAAGATACAACAGCAGTGGCAGATCCAATATTTCGGATCTAGTGAGTCACCCTGAATTTGATGACCTGTAAAAGTATAAAAAAAATTTTGAATCCATCATTTCGGAGCTTCGTGGCATTATCAAAAACCCGACGAGCTTTCTCTAATAAACCAAAACTCACATACATGTAAAGCAAATTGTTATGAGAAAACCCATCATTTAAAAACCTAAATTTGACAACATGGGCATGAATTTGCTTGCCTTCTAAAATCCAATTATCAATGCGACAAGCGCTAACAAGAGAAGGATACGTGAAATTGTTAGGCAAAACAGAGTCCTGCAACATTCGTAAGTACAAAATCAAGCATTCCCTATCCAAATAGCATTGCAAACAAGTAAATAACCCTTGATTAAGGTGTTGTATATAGAAGCATCTGGTTGGGGCATTTTATCAAACAGTTGGTGGGCATAAACCAAATCACCAGATTCCAACAAAGCATAAAACTTGATAGCTCTACCCATTACATCAAAGTATGAAACAATAAGTCTAATCACCAACTAATCAAGACTACAAAGTAGCAATTTTACCAAATAAAGTTCAATTCAATTCAACATTTCAACACCCCAATGAACATATTGAACAACCTTGTCAAAGAACTGTCAAGATTATGAAATTATAAAAGACTAAAATTATAATTAATTAAGTAATAACACAATAATGAGCAACAAATCAACAATTCAGTTCAATTTAAACAATTAAATGACTGAAATTATACATAATTAAAATTAAAACTAAATAACAAATTAAATAGTTCATAATTTAAATTTTGATACAATAATACCTTGCTCAGTTGCTCTACTTTAATCGGTGTTCACTTACTCACTCGGTCACTCCGGTCGGTGGTGGTAGGCGGTGTGGCGGCACGGTAGGCAGGAGAGTGAGGACTGGTGGTCACAGATCTACAGACTACAACAAAAAGGTGCGCTGGTGCCTGGTTATCGTCATAAATGGTGGCTGATTGTAGGCGTCGCGTGCGCCTACGTTAAAAGCATGTTGTGAATATGCTTGGCACTCATAGGGAGTGGGAATTGACATAATACGATTAGGGACAAATAAAGTAGGGAGCCGCCAACAAGTTTTTAAGGAACTTGTAAACCGTTCACGGATCATAAAAAGGCGACCACGATAGGGGACAACGATAGGCAACAACGATTGACCCGTGAAGGTTACACCCCATTCATAATCTATGAGATTACTAACTCCATATGGTTCGGAACCACGAAAGGAGGATTAGGGATGATGGTACGAAGTGAGTCATGGAGTCTCATTCGCCCGTATTGGCCTCTACTCGATTCTTATATTGAAAAGCATTCCTGTGATCTCAAAGGCATACAAACAAAGATTCAATTTGCTCCAAACTATTATTTAACTAAATTGGTTTAAAATTAATGCACACATAATTCTAAAAATTTGGTGATCACTTCAATTAACAATAAGATTAAAAGGGATCCTAAACCGGTCGTCCAAATTATCTTATTAGTCGTGATTTTCAATTACATATTCCCTTTAACATGCAATATGGTGATCAATAAATAATAGAATAAACATTAATATTAAAACCAATTTAATCATAATTCCAACAACATAAAAAATCGTAGAAAAATAACAATAGTAAAAAGAGCATGATCCTTACTTTGAATATGTTTGTTTGCAACTACAAAATAATAAACGAGTTAGTAACTTCAAGGAAATAATAAAACAATGACTAAATTAAATTAAATTAAACTAAAGTTGATTTTGGGGCCAAACCCTCAAACGATTCTACCTTTCACGCCTTGGCTTAAGGACAGAACCTCGAGTAAAATATGGACTCCTTTGAGTGCTTGAAGAAGGAATTTTGAAGTGAAAAGGGTAGGCTAGTGTTTAGGTTAATAGCATAGAGGAGAGAAAATAAGAATAATAAAATTATCATTGCCCCATACATCAGAAATGAGGGGGTATTTATAGGGAAATGTGGTGAGGGAGCACACGGAACCCTAAAATGATAAAAACCCTAAATATCCCGTGACACGGTCAGACTGTACCGTCAGACGGTACAAGTTCTCGTGACACGGTCAGTTTTGGAGTGACGCGGGAAATTTTCAGAAAACGGAACGGAAAACGCGTTAAGGGTTTACGCGGAAAGGACACGGAATTTCCCGTGTCACGGCAGACCTCCCGTGTCACGGGGAGTCTCACCGTCAGACGGGAAGAATTCCCGTGACACGGTCAAGCTGTACCGTGACACGGTCAGTTCCAGTCCATTTTTCCGTCTTAATTCATTTTTAACTCTAATTTCTTTCGGCTTTTTAAGTGCCGATTGATAATTTCGGGCTTTTTTCTGACTTTTATTATTCGGGCTAAAATAAGAAAATAATAAAATAAAAATAAAAAATTTGGGCCCAAAATAATAAATAATAAAATAATAAAAAAAGGTTTGGGCTTAAAATTAATTAACAAGTTTGGGCTAAAATTAAAACTATGCTTTTACCAAACACCAAGACTGATCCATGGACCTTTCAAAAACATGAATTTAATAAAATACGATTTTTCAAGCACTCTCGGGATTAAATACTAAACCCGACCAATAGTGGCGGTGAAAGGTTATTTATCATCGGGTTTGGTTTCGGGGAGACATTTTTAGGTGTCTACACTGATGCTTACTTCGGCACTGGTACGATGCCTGGTGGTCGCCGATCGAAATGATGTGAGAGAGACACAGAGGGAGTAAGGTTTGTGTCGCTTCAGACTTTGAGTTTCGTTTGGTTTTGTTCCGTTGTCGCTTTTCGCTTTTCATGGTTTTGCCTTATTTCTTTTTGTGCATTTGGTTTTTCCTTGTTTCTTTTCCTCTTTTTTATTTCTTCAATAAACTTTATTTTATTTTGAAGCAGGTAAACAGTTTTGATAAGAAAAAAGAAATTAAAAAAAAGTGTTACAACCAAGTGATACATAATATCTATGTGTTACAAGAAAGTGCTACATAATTTTAAAGTGTTACAAAAAATGTTACCTAATACCACAATGTTACAAAAGTGTTACGTAAAAATCAAAAAATCATGAATTTGTTTAAGTGTTACCAAAGGGTGTTACTTAAGCACAATTTTGTACTACTGAAACTCAATGATGAATATCTTTCACGTCATTTGATTATTGAACGAAGTGAAAGTGTGAAAAGTCTAGTGATATGGATGTTTTTAATTAAAATATATCTCTTTCTCTTTTGAAAATATTTCTTCTTACACTCTATTTATGAAAATAGTCAGTCTAATTTGGTTTAGTCCATGATAAGGGTCCAATAATAGTGTAGTTGGATTGGGCTCAAAAAGAGCTTTCCAACGATATATTATAAGCCCAATTCCGATGAATAATGAGGAAGTTATGGATTAAATTAAATTTGGCCCAAAATGAATTTTATATGTGGCCCAATGATCTAGAGGAGGGCCTATTAATTATTATTCCTAAAGTTATTAGGATTGATTTTAATCTTCTAGAATTATATAAAAGGTTCTTTAAAATTCTAATAAGATTAGGATTGATAATTATATTTTAAAGAGTTTTATTTTGAATAAAATATGTGATTTTATTACAAACATGATTTTAATCTGATCAACGCGGAATTAGCTGCTTAATCGTATTAAGAAGAGGATTCCGCGTGGAAAGCGTGTTTAATCTAACTTAGCGCAAGACGACAAGGTTGTCGCCTGGCGCTGACAGCTGTCGCCGTTGGCGACATGATTTATTTTATTCCGAGTATGACTTGATTTGATTCTGGACTATTTTTTCTATAAATAGGGGTCGTATCTCCCGTTTTTATTCATTCACAATCATTATTCCCAATCATCTCTCTCTCTAAAAGCTAGATGTTTTTTCTTTCTCTCTCTCTATTCTTTTTTTAAACCTTCCCTCTCACAAAATATCACATTCATGAGTTCTAGACACACCTAGCTAAGTTCAAAGTTGTCTTTGCCCTAGACATGAAAGGTTGATAATTTCTGAGGGTTTGGTCCCAAATCTTATTTCAATTATTTAATTTAATTATTTGATTTATTATTTTTATTGAAGTTATTAACGTGTGTATTTTTTTATTAGAAAGAGATACGAGGCATTGAAGTAAGTAATTTAATTACTTTATTGATATTTTGATATAGAAATCATGCTTAGATTATTTTGTTGATTTCTAGTACCATGTTAGGATGTGTTATTGCTTCCTATTATCATGTTTAAGGTTAACTAATATTTATGATATTATATTATGATGCTTCCTATTTCTTTTCTAATATCATGTTAGTATCATGATAGGGTTAAAGCTTTGATTTTTGATGTTTAGTGACATGCTAGGATTTGTTATTAATCTTGTTAGTATCATGCCTAGGATCTTGCTAATATTATTATGCTTTGAGAATATTATCATGATGATGATGATTGTTATTATTTTGCTTAAAATTATTATTGTTATTTCTTGATCACGTCTTTTATGCATGTTTAAAGGGAATTTGTACTTGTAATCATGCTTAATAAGATAATTAATAATCTTGTTTAGGCTAATATGATTATAATTCAAGTGATCGCCAATAATCGATTTGCTTGTGCATTAATATTCAACCAACATAGATTAAACAGGTTTAGGGTTAATCTATTGATCGCATTTTAGTCAGAAAACGCACATGAATACGAGAAGAATAAAGTAGAGGCCTATTATTAGGGCAGATTAAATCTCATTTAGGTTGGATTTGTACCTTCATCCCCGAACATCCAGTCATGGTTGTAACACCCCAATAATTCTCTCTTTAAACCTGTAAATATCCCTGAACAAAATCCAAGAGAATTACTGATGTGCTACCTCCATGTGTTCAAACATTAAGGCTATATCAGAAATTAGCAGCGGAAAAACTAATTCAGTTATAAAAAAGTTTCAAAACCAACGAATAAAACCAAATTAAGTCTTACAACTTGGAACCATTAAGGCCCTTATTCAAAACTTAAACCAATAGAAGTAGTATAAAAGTTAAAATTGAGTTTAAATATCTTCAAAAGTAAACAACAATAAAAATGAGAAAAGCAACCATTACTCCACTCAAGATCCCACCACCTAGATACGGATGCTACATGTGTAAGAACCTGTGGTTAATCTGCTCCCCCAATATTACAAGTGTAAAAATTGGATCGTCACAGGGTCATTGAAAGGCGAAGGCCATGACCAAAGAAAGAAACACAAAGCACGCAATCAGCAAAGCTGAGTGCATACAAGCTGCGAAATATAATAAGAAATCCCTAACATGCTACAAATAATCAATCATCACGCATCATTAGATTATAGACTCAACTAGGGGTGAGCAAAAATATAAGGTACCCGGTTTTGGAACCGGTACCGGTTTGGACCCGGCGGGTCTAGACCCAGAACTGGTCCAATTGGGTCCTGGTCCGATACCTAAATTTTGGACCCGGTTAGAACCTGTTCCAATTTCGGATCCAAAAAATTTGGACCCGGTACCAGATGGATGCCCGGTTACTACTTACAAAAGGATGAGAAATAGTTGTGTGCTAAAAGCCCAAAAGACAAAACCCAACATACATCATGCACCTAATATAAATAGTCTAATCTGACAAACCTAAAATCTCTTATTCTTTCACAACCTCCAAACACACCATTTATACTAGTACACTGATACTTTAATCCCTTCACTACACTAATTCATTTCACCAAAAAAAATCTATCACATGAAAATTGCAACTTCCATACTCTATGATTCATGAAAATCACAATTTAAACCACGTCATACAAGAGATTTGTTGCACCTTCTTCTTACAAATACTTTCTTATTCATTGTTGGGTTATTGATGCAATGTTTACTTCAATTGATTGGTATTTGTTTCATTTTTTTTCATTTTTTGTCAGATCTAGAATTAGGAGAGACAAATAGAGTGTTGTTTAAAGAGATGAAATACTTTTTTTTTTTTAATTCGTTTTTGTTAATATATTTGTTGTTGTAAATCTGTAATCCTTTGTATCATTGTAGATCT